CATTGAACACGTTGGCGAGAACCTGCAACATACACTTGTTCGCAGAGGCTCCTCCGACCACCATAAGACGCTGCGGCTTGTTGACGCCAAGTTTCTCCGCATGCAAACGCAGCGACAGAAATTGGCTCTCCACCACTGCACGCACTTCCACTTCAGGAGGGGAGTGCGAGATGTCAATGCTAGCACCGCTGGCATTGAAACCAACAACTCCAGCCCTAAGAGTGGATGGAGTGATCTCCGGATCCTGATAGTAAAACGCTGTGGTGCCTCCGTTGCCCGCCTTCGTAGCTTGCATTAGCTGCTCGAACATCTCCCACGACTCATTCGCGCGTCGATCTCGCACATCCTCTCGCGTGAGTGAGCCGTTCTTGAAGCAGATCATAGCCATAACCGAGTTCGGGTCAATGGGGTTGCAGAAGAAGTGCCCCTCTTTGCCAGAGAAGCGCGCGGCTTCCGTCGGCACCACCGCAAACAGCGTGCTGGATGTACCCAGCGAGACACCCACGTCACCGGGCTGAGATAGACCAATACCTGCGAGGGTGCACGGGTTGTCACCGGAGAACGCGATCACCTTGCAATCAGCAATAAAGCCGTATTTCTTCTGGAAGTAGACATGAATAGAGCCCACTGACGAGTACGCTCGCGAAACCTGCGGACCCAAGGCCGCCACTAACTTCTCCGCAGCATTAGCAGAAGTACTGTACTTCGTAGTGGCCTTCACGAGCTCAGGGGACCACACACGTTCGCGTACGTCAAGCAGGTTCATGCCCGATCCGTCGCTGTCATCAATTGGAGCGTATTCACCGCACAGGAGCGACGTCAGCATCGACGAGACTAGAGCGATACGTCCACATTTCTCCAGAAATGCAGGATCCTCGTGGATCCGCTTGGCGATTTGATTGCCCGTGAAGCGCTCGTACGCTCGGGACCCACTGATCTCAGCGACGCGGCCAGGTCCACCTACAACATTCTCCAACTCAGTGCAGTAGCGCGTCGTAGAACTGTCCATCCAGCTAGGTCCGTTGGGCAGGCAGAACGCAGGCTCTTGCTGTTTCTGCATGGCCTCCACCATGGAAACGGCGCCAGACTCCGCGGCGGCGTCTAAGCAGGCACGAAGCGAGAAGCCCTTGTCCCAGTATACGGAAGCGTGTTGCTGAGCACTTCCACTGACGCTCTTGATCATAGCAACGTCGATGGAGCTCTTCGCCAGGTCTTCCATGATGGCGTCCAGGGACTCGACGAACATCAGCGAGGGGATCACTACCTCGTTTTCCTTCGGACGCAGCACGCCGTTATCAGTTCCGTACTGCGGGAAGCGCTCATCGAAACGAAAGGAGCTCTCATACACCACGTGGCCGCTGGCGTCCACAACCACAGCTGACATGCTCTGCGTGGAGCAGTCTAGACCCAGAAAGAGCGCATCGTCCGGAAACGAAAGGGTCATAACGGGTGTAGATTGTTCGGCGAGCAGGGGAATGAGGAAATGAGCAGCTTAGATCGTGGACTGGTCGAAGATTGAGTTGCGGTTACACGAGCGTGGCTGCAGGTGCATGTACAGCTCGAAGATGACTGCAGCTTCTTCGACGCTTCAACGTGCTTTGCAGTGCCACAGTTGAGTGATGACGGTGGGGGAGGTCATCCCCCCTGGTAGATCATCTGAGTCGGAGTCTGAACCCGTGACGTCGCCCCAAACCCTGTCAAATAGTATTGAAGTTGCCTCCATAAGATGTTCAAGTTGCCACTCCAAATCCGGATACAAAAGTACGAAATAATTTGCGCACTTTATTTCTACACTTTGTATCCGAATTTAACCGGATTACAGTTTATCCCTTAAAATTATTATTCGTAGGAATGTATATTGCACCATCCAATCATTCCGTACTGCATCGCATCACTCCGGCTGATGCAGACGAAAGGTCATAGACTGGACCCATGCCATCGGAAGTCGAGAAGAAGCTCAAGCTCAAGCTCAAGCTCAACGTCGCCAGCAGTCCCTGAATAGCCTCCTAGAGTGTAAAGCATCCGTCAATGTCCTTGCTGTCCTCGTCTCGCAGCGCTCTGACGCGTCGTCTGCGTCGTGCACCACAGCTCCGCGCACTGCACGTGGCTCCACCTCTAGCTCAAGCGCAAGAGGAGGAAGACGACGCTCTTCCTGTGCTTGAGACGCAGCAAATGAACATGTTCACGGCCATCAACGACGCCATGCGCGTGGCCATGGAGACAGACCCCTCTGCCGTGCTATTTGGCGAGGACGTGGCCTTCGGTGGCGTGTTCCGCTGTTCGGTGGACCTTCGTGAGAAGTTCGGCGACGATCGCGTCTTCAACTCACCGCTGTGTGAACAAGGAATCGCCGGTTTTGCCATTGGTTACGCGTCGACAGGACGGACGGCAATCGCCGAGATTCAATTCGCCGACTACATCTTCCCGGCGTTTGACCAGATCGTGAACGAGGCAGCCAAGTTCCGCTACCGGTCAGGCAACGAGTTCGACTGCGGTAAACTCACGTTCCGTGCCCCGTATGGAGCTGTGGGTCACGGTGGCCACTACCACTCGCAGTCACCTGAGGCGTACTTTGCACACACACCCGGACTTAAAGTGGTGGTGCCACGAAACCCGGTGACAGCGAAGGGGTTACTGCTGGCTTCTATTCGAGACCCGAATCCCGTGCTCTTCTTGGAGCCCAAGGCGCTGTATCGCGCATCAGTTGCAGAGGTAAGACACTCGGTGATGTAGCAAGGTTGGTGGTACATTGCTGACAAACTGTTGATGATGGATAGGTGCCAGTGGGAGAGTATGTACAAAATCTGAGTGAGGCGGAGATTGTGCGACGAGGTACGGACGTCACGGTAGTTGGTTGGGGCGCACAGATGCGGGTACTGGAGGAAGCGTGTGGATACGCTGAAGACGTCGGTATCAGCTGTGAACTCATCGACTTGCAGACGATCTTCCCTTGGGACGCTGACACAATTGAGCACTCAGTTCGCAAGACCGGTCGACTAGTTATCAGCCACGAAGCTCCGGTAAGTGGTAGCAGAATTAAGTGGTAGTG